ATATTCAACCTAGAATTTCATATCCAGCCAAACTAAACTTCATAAGCAAACAAGAAAGAAAATCCTTTATGGGCAAGCAATTGCTGAGAGATTTCATCACCACCAGGCCTGCCTTATAAGAACTCCTGAAAGAAGCACTAAACAAGGAAAGGAACAACCAGTACCAGCCACTCAAAAAAGTACCAAATGGCAAAGACCATCAATACAATGAAAAAAAAAATGGGTCAACTAACTGGCAAAACATCCAGCTACCATCAAAATAGCACGATCAAATTCACACATAACAATATTAACCTTAAATGTAAATGGGCTAAATGCAGCAATCAAAAGATACAGACTAGCAAATTGGATAAAAAGTCAAGACCCATCAGTGTGCTGTATTCAGGAAACCCATCTCACATGCAAGGACACACATAGGCTCTAAATAAAGAGATGGAGGAAGATTTAACAAGCAAATGGAGAGCAAAAAAAAAAAACAAAAAAAAGCAAGAGTTGCAATCCTAGTCTCTGATAAAATGGACTTTAAACAAACAAAGATCAAAACAGACAAAGAAGGGTATTACATAATGGTAAAAGGATCAAGAAGAGCTAATGATCCTAAATATATACACACCCAATACAGGAGCACCCAGGTACATAAAGCAAGTTCTTAATGACCTACAAAGAGTCTTAGACTCCCACACAATATTAGTGGGAGACTTTAACACTCCACTGTCAATATTAGACAAAACAATGAGACAGAAAATTAACAAGGATATCCAGGACTTGAACTCAGATCTGGACCAAGTGGACCTAATAGACATCTACAGAAATCTCCACCCCAAATCCACAGAATATACATTCTTCTCAGCACCATATCTCACCTACTCTAAAACTGACCACATATTTGGAAGTAAATCACTCCTCAGCAAATGCAAAAGAACAGAAATCATAACAGTCTCTCAGACCACAGGGCAATCAAATTAGAACTCAGAATTAAGAAACTAACTGAGAACCATATAACTTTAAGGAAACTGAACAACTGGCTCCTGAATGTTGACTGGATAAACAATGAAATGAAGGCAGGAATTAAGATGTTCTTGGAAACCAGTGAGAATGAAGACACAACGTACCAGAATCTCTGGGACACATTTAAAGCAGTGTCAAGGGGGAAATTTATAGCAATAAATGCCCACATGAGAAGCGAGGAAAGATTGAAAATCGACACCCTATCATCAAAATTGAAAGAGCTAGAGGAGCAAGATCAAAAAAACTCAAAGCTAGCAGAAGACATGAAATAACTAAGATAAGAACAGAACTGAAGGAGATAGAGACACAAAAAACCCTTCAAAAAATCAATAAATCGAGGAGCTGGTTTTTTGAAAAGATCAACAAAATAGACCACTAGCCAGATTAATAAAAAAAAAAAGGGAGAAGAATCAAATAGATGCAATAAAAAACAATAAGCAGGATATCACCACAGATTCCACAGAAATACAAACTACCATCAGAGATTACTATGAAAAACTCTATGCACATAAAACAGTAAATCTGGAAGAAATAGATAAATTCCTGGACGCTTGCACCCTCCCAAGCCTAAACCAGGAAGAAGTTGAAACCTTGAATAGACCAATAACAAGGGCTGAAGTTGAGGCAGCAATTAATAGCCTACCAACCAAAAAAAGTCCAGGTACAGACAGGTTCACAGCTGAATTCTACCAGACATACATAGAGGAGCTGGTACCATTCCTTCTGAAACTATTCCAAACAATCCAAAAAGGAGGGAACCCTTCCCAAATCATTTTATGAGACCAACATCATCCTGATACCAAAACCCAGCAGAGACTCAACAAAAAAAAGAAAACTTCAGGCCAATATCCATGATGAACACAGATGCAAAAATCTTCAATAAAATACTGGCAAACTGATTGCAATAGCACATCAAAAAGCTTATCCATCACAATCAAGTAGGCTTAATTCCAGGGGTGCAAGACTGGTTCAACATATGCAAGTCTATAAACCTAATCCACCACACAAACAGAATGAAAGACAAAAACCACATGATTATCTCTATTGGTGCATAGAAGGCCTTCGACAAAATTCAACAGTGCTTTATGCTAAAAATTCTCAACTAGGTATCAAAGGAACATATCTAAAAACAGAAAAAGCTATTTACTACAAACCAACAGCCAATATCATACTGAATGGGCAAAAACTGGAAGCATTCCCTTTGAAATCCAGCACTAGACAAGAATTTGTCTCACCACTCCTACTCAATATAGTATTGGAAGTTCTAGCCAGAGCAATTAGGCAAGAAGAAAAAATAAAGGGTATTCAAATAGGAAAATAGAAAGTTAAATTTTCTCTATTTGCAGATGACATGATTGTATATTTAGAAGACCCTATCATCTCAGCCCAAAATCTCCTTAAACTGATAAGCAACTTCAGCAAAGTCTCAGGACACAAAATCAATGTGCAGAAATCACAAGCATTTCTATACACCAATAACAGACTAACAGAGAGCCAAATCATGAGCAAACTCCCATTCATAATTGCTACAAAGAGAATAAAATACCTAGGAATACAACTAACAAAGGATATAAAGGACCTCTTCAAGGAGAACTACAAACCACTGCTCAACGAAATAAGAGAGGACACAAACAGATGGAGAAACATTCCATGCTCAGGGTTAGGAAGAATCAATATCATGAAAATGGCCATACTGCCCAAAGTAATGTATAGGTTCAACACTATCCCCATCAAGCTACCAATGACCTTCTTCACAGAACTGGGAAAAACCACCTTAAACTTCATATGGAACCAAAAGAGCCTGCATAGCCAAGACAATCCTAAGTAAAAAGAACAAAGCTGGAGGCATCATGCTACCTGATTTCAAACTATACTACAAGGCTACAGTAATCGAAACTGCATGATACTGGTACCAAAACAGAAATATAGACCAATGGAACAGAACAGAGGCCCTGGAGGCAATGCCACACATCTACAACCAACACATCTTTGACAAACCTCACAAAAACAAGCAATGGGGAAAGGATTCTCTGTTTAATAAATGGTTTTGGGAAAACTGGCTAGCAATGTCCAGAAAGCAGAAACTAGACCCCTTCATGACACCTTACACTAAAATTAACCCCAGATGGATTAAAGACTTAAACAAAAGACCTAACACCATAAAAACCCTAAAAGAAAACCTAGGCAAAACCATTCAGGACATAGGCATAAGCAAGGAATTCATGACTAAAACACCAAAAGCATTGGCAACAAAAGCCAAAATAGGCAAATGGGATCTAATTAAACTCCAGAGCTTCTGTACAGCAAAAGAAACAATCATTTAGAGTGAACCAGCAGTGAACAGAATGGGATAACATTTTTGCAATCTATCCATCTGACAAAGGGCTAATATCCAGAATCTACAAAGAATGAAAACAGGTTTACAAATAAAAAAGCAAACCCATCCAAAAGTGAGTGAAGGATATCAACAGACACTTTTCAAAAGAAGACATATATGAGGCCAAAAAACATATGAAAAAATGCTCATCATCACTGATTATTAGAGAAATGCAAATCAAAACCACATTGAGATACCACCTCACGTCAGTTAGAATGGTGACCATTAAAAAATCTGGAGACAACAGATGCTGGAGAGGATGTGGAGAAATAGGAACACTTTCACATTGTTGGTGGGAGTGTAAATTAGTTCAACCATTGTGGAAGACAGTGTGGTGATTTCTCAAGGACCTAGAAATAGAAATTCTATTTGTCCCAGAAATCCCATTACTAGATATATACCCAGAGGATTATAAACCATTCTGTTATAAAGACACAGGCACATGTATGTTCATAGTGGCACTGTTTACAATAGCAAAGACCTGGAACCAACCCAAATGCCCATTGACAAATAGACTGGACAAGGAAAATGTGGCACATATACACCATGGAATGCTATGTAGCCACAAAAAATGATGAGTTTGTGTCCTTTGCAGGGTCATGGATGAATCTAGAAACTGTGATTCTCAGCAAACTGACACGAGAACAGAAAATCAAACACAACATGTTCTTACTCATAGGTGGATGATGAACAATGAGAATACATGGACACAGGGAGGGGAGCATCACACACTTGGGTCTGTTGGTGGCAGCCAAGGGAGGGACACTGAGGAGGTGGGGAGGTCAGGGAGGGATAACATGGGGAGAAATGCCAGATGTAGGTGATGGGGGGAATGGAGGCAGCAAACCACATTTCCATGTTTGTACCTATTCAACAATCCTGCATGATCTGCACATGTACCCCAGAACCTAAAGTAAAATAAAAAAAAAGATGCATGCACTTAGTGGTCTATTAGAGAGAAACATGGGAACAAGAAAGGGTCCATTTCTTCTTTCTATAAGGTGAACAACAGCACTAGCAGAGGATTCAGTGGCATTGACGCTCACCTCCGTGATGAGTGGGAAGCAGGGAGTCATGTGGCCAGACAGCATGAAGTGTGTGGACACCACCTGATCAAATGGGAAGCTGACTCTGCCCTTCTGCAGACTGCTGCCAGGTGGGGACACAGCTCAGGGTTACCACAGCTCTCAAATTTTTTAGGAGCCATAAATCTGGGTTGTTATGTGAAGTGTATTCCTTTCCCCTCAATGTTGTCTGAGCTAACTGCTAACAAACAAAACGTATTAGGTGAGCTGGGTCCCGCTTGTGAATGGCTGTGAATGGCTGTTTCTCTGCAACCTCCCCACCTTCCACATCAGTCCTCAGTGAAGAGAGAAGCTCTGGGGGCACTTCCAGAGAAGGAGGAGATGGGCACTAAATTTAAAGCAAAGTGGAAAGTGGACAAGTTTATACAGAAAGCATGTTGGGAAAGTGATGAGTTCTCACTGATGACTGCTACCCAAGCACCCTCACAGGGATTCAGAGGAGCAAGGCTTCTTTGCCCTCTAACTGGCACTGCCTTGGCACAAACAGCAGCCCAGCTTCTAGAAATAAGAAAAGAGGTAGCTACTTAAGGCATTTCCTGGGGCTGCAGACTGTTTGAGAATAGTCTAACCATGTCTGCCCCCTTCACAGATTCACCAGGTATATGATGCTCTTTCTGGCTGAGTTCTATGTGCAGAGCTGATGCATGAGGACAGCTTATTCTTCCTACCTTGCCTCAGAAACACTTGTCTGCATAGGTAATGCAGCTCTCGCTTTAGGTGGGAGGGAGGGCCTGGGTCAGCATACCTGTGTCTGAGCTCAACATACACTACATTCATCCCAACAACTCAGCATTACCCTCTGCCAACACTGTTTGGGGTCATTTTTCTGATTTGGATTAGCCTGTTTACACAAAAATTGAAAATATTATCCTAATTGAGCCATTCTCTTCTCTCTTTCCTTCTCTTCCTTGAGTTTTCTAGTAGTGACTTTATCACAGGAACTCTTAATTTTTCTAAACCCTTTCTTCAAGGGTGCAGGGAATTTAAAACATACTTTACTTCATCTGTGTGTATTTTTAAAACCCTATACTATAATGTAAGTAATAGAAGTTAAAGATAATTGCAAACTATTCTTGATTTTACTTGTGTTTTATTAACAAATCTGCCTTAATCCAGGATTAAAATTGAGTGAGATTGGAGGATTTTTCTCATCTGCAGCTTGGAGCAAGAGATTCTGTGTAATAAACGTGCCTCTTTGCTTGACATAAAGCCATCCTATTATATTTCTGGCAGTGCTGAGTGAGACCAACTCTCACCTGCCCTGCAATGCACATGTACATTGATAGGCAAGGGGTGCCCAGCACAGTTAAAGGCTTGAGCCTCCCTGTTCCCCTCAAGGTGTCAGGATGAAGGCCTCTTCCTCTTTGCTTCTGTGCTTTAAGTTTCCTTTCCATAACATAGGACCTTTCTTCTGACTCTAGCATTTCATTTCAACATTATATCACAGGGCATGTTATTTCAGGAAAACAGGCAGTAACTGGAGTATAAAACACCTTCTTCCCAGTGCTGCTGGTTTGTTCCACTGATTAGAGCATCATTGACAAGGTGAAGGTCATAGGGCCTCCATTTTTATTGGGACCAGTCCACAGTTTCCTTCTGCTCTGTGGTCTGTGGCTATACCTGTAGTCCAGATCAGCTGATGCTGTGAAAATGTCACCATCCAAAGGATGACAGAAACTCAGAGGGTCTCTCCTGTGGGCAGTGGACAGCAGGGTCATATCCATCCATAAAATATGTTACTTTATGAATAGAAAGTCACCATTAGAGGGAAAACACCATGTCAATCAGCAGTGACTAAAGACAAAGCAGCCCTAGGTCATCCCACAAGCCAGTGACTATGCACCTAGTCACTTTCCTGGCCTCAACCTCAATCTGAATGTTCCTGGAAAGACACATCCTCATGTTTATTTCAAGCACACACTAAACTTCCCCTGTCACTTTTGATTCTATGCTTCCTGTGGTAATGTCAATAATTATTGGTGAATGAATGATGTGTATGCATTACGTGTGCATAGGTGTATGCAAAGTTTATGTTTCTGTGTACCTGAACTCATTCTTTAACTCCTACTTTCACCCCAAAACCTATTCACCCAGGCCTAAGTCTTATGTACAGGAATGAGTATACCAACCAGTAGTTTACCCACGTAGGCATACCAGCTGTTACTTTCTCCACTCCTTTCTGTCCTCAGTCTTCTGTATATAATTCATCTCAAAATGCTGTCAAATTTACCATCAAAATGTCTTTCAACTGCCCCTTCCCTTCCATTCTTCCTCCCACTGTTCCAGTTCAGACCACAGCCATCTCTCTCCTAGTTAGCTCCAATGGCTTCCAGTTGGACTCTCTGCTTCTGAAATGCTTGCCTACCACCTCTTATCCATTCTCACTATTGCACCCTCATTGATCCACTCAACACAAACCTGACCTTTCTACTCCATTGCTCAAAAGTCTTGCCTGGCTTCCACTCCCCTGATAAGAGATTCTAAGCTCCTCAGCATAAAACATAAAAACCATCAAGATCTGACCCTGGCTTCCACCCTGGCCTCAGCTCCTGCCTCCCATTAGAAAGCATTCCACTTTCAGCCACATCATTTACTCGCCATTCTTGGAACATACTGAGATCTCTCAAGCCTCCAGAAACTTATATGTGTTAGGTTCCCTGCTAGAATCCCTTTTCCCATCTTATCCACACAGGAGCTTTCTAATTCTCCTTGCAGACCTGTCTCCAAGTGCCGACTTTGCATCCCACTCAGGAAAAGCCAGCCAAATCTACCTCTGGGAGGTGGAGGCATTGGTCATAGCACTTGCCTGCCTGTAGCACTTGCTCAACTGAAGGACCAGAACTCATTCACCTTTGTATTTCTAAGGACCACGAGCACACAGGGAGGTCCCATTCATTGAGGCTGCCATGAGGTGTTGAGTATCTACCATGTGCTAGCAGTAGCAAGTAAAAACAAAATTGGTTACCGTTACGGTGCTAAGTCATGAATAAATTCTTATTCTTATATCTGTGTGTTGTCTATATAGTGAGCAAGAGTTCAACTATAAATAAAAGAGAAGTATCTATAAGCAAGAATTCTTATTCTTATATCTGTGTGTTGTCTATATAGTGAGCAAGAGTTCAACTATAAATAAAAGAGAAGTATCAATAAACAAGAAAAAAAAAGTTTCCATTCCCCAACCACCAGATTTTCTACTTGTAATTTAGTGGATGAAATACTTACTAAAGAGAATTTTTTTTCACTTTAGTGAGGTGACTCAGCATATAGAATAGTAACAATAATGATGATAATAACAAGTAACATTTTGGAGTGCTTGCTATGTTCTAAGTCCCATTCTGAGAACTTTACATGTATTAGCCCATATTTTTTTCACAGAACAATCTTAGAAAACAAGTATTATTATTATTATCCTCACTTTAGAAAAAAAGAAACTGAGACATTTAAACGTTAAGGAATTTGATTACAGTCCTACAGTTAGTAAATATTGGAGCTGGTGTGTACCCAAGCAATGTCTTAGTTTTCTTACTGCAGATAGATGTCCTTTAACACATTCAATATTGAGAAGATAGGGACTGTGATGTATCAAGTCCATGTAACAAGGAGCTACCTGAATTTTAAAATAATGTGAAGAAAAGTGGTAAGTATATATAAAACTCTAGGGATGGAAAACAAATCAGTGGTTGCTTGGTGGAGAGGGAAAGGCTGATTATAAAGGGCCACAGAAGGGCGTGTCAGCTCTGTAGGGTTGTGGGGTGGTGGAGGCATTTGTCAAAACTCACAGAACTGTACACAGTACAGTATGAATGTTACTGTATGCTAATTTGAAAAACACTAAAGCAGAAAGTGAAGGGATCCCAGGGTGGAATGCAGACTAAGACAAATGAATCTAACTGTATTATCAATGTATGACATAACTTCACTGAAAAGAGGAGAGAAAAATGGAGCTGGCCTAAGTAGCTTTGGAAAGTCGTGTGTGAGCGGGACACTAAGGTCAGAGACAAAGGAATTATGTGCAAACACTACTATTCTAGTTGATAAATGTATTTCTCAGTGGCATATGGGTTGGTAATCCTGAAACTTAGTGTATGCTGGATTGAACAAAATAAATACATTGTAGATAATAGGAGCCAGTTTTCTCACTATCATAGAAGGGAATTACAAATAAGTAGGGTGGAAGACTACAATGTATCCTGTGGATAGGAGTCAGAGATGGACTCTGGACCATCTCTCCTGTGGGTTAGAGCCAGAGATCTAAGTGTGAACTCCTGGCTGTTGTAAGAGTGAGACAGGTATCAATCTGTATATATACATGGATTATTTCCTGGCTTTGTTCACTGAGTAGAACAAAAAGCAGGGATATCCTACTAACAACAGGCACACCACTGCCCAGATTTTGATTTCTAAATATTCTTTTTTTTTTTTTTTTTTTGGAGACACAGTCTCACTCTGTCACCCAAGCTGGAGTACATTGGTATGATTACAGCTCACTGCAGCCTTGTCCTCCTGGACTCAAGCAATTGTCCCACCTCAGCCTTCACAGTAGCCAGGACTAAAGGTACCCACCTCCAGGTCCAGCTAATTGTTTTTTCTTTCTTTCTTTTCTTTTTCCTTCCTTCCATCCTTCTTTCCTTCCTTCTCTCTCTCTCTCTCTCTTGCTTGCTTGCTTTCCTTCTTGAGATGGGGACTCCCTCTATTGTCTAGGCTAGTCATTCTTGGGCTCCGGTAATCCTCCTGCCTCGGCCTCCCAAAGTCCTGGAATTATGGGCATAAGCCACCACAACCAGCCTTTAAATACCATTCTTTAATGAAAGAAACCAGGGCTCTTTGGAGAAATGGCTGATTCTATGACTGAGAGAGGGAAACTCCATGATGAGCCTGGACCATCTCATCAAGTCAGAAACCAAGAAAGCAATCAAAGGAGAAAAAAAAATTCAGAGTATGGGGTCAAGTCAAAAGGACCAAGAAGCCAATTAAAAAGAGCTTCCAATGGCCAAAGAGGGAACAACTTCAGTTACAAAATTAATTACAATAGTATTGAATTATAACCCCCATAATAAAATAAATATCCATGAGTCTACATTGATAGAAACAAACGCATAAATAAATGAGAGACTAAGGGATAAATTTTCCTTATGGAAGAATTCCAAGTAATACATGCAGAAAATCCCTTCTCCAGGAGATAGAATTTCCCGCTTATAGAGTGTGAGGCTAGAGGTGATGACCTGTGTCCAAATCACAGATTATGGAAATGGAAAAATAATAACTTTACAGTGGAGAAAACTGGAAGAATGCAAACACTACCTTAACCAAGTGATCAGCTTTAGCCTGTCACATACCCCTGATATGATGCAATGAGAGGGGCACCTTATCTCTGTGATAAAAACTGCAACCCCAGTCTAATCATAAGAAAACATAAGATAGACCACAATTGAGGGACATTCTGCAGAATATTTGACCAGTATTTTTCAAAGCTGTTAAGGTCATAGCAAACAACTAAATACCAAGAAACTTATCACAGATCAGAGAAAACTAAAGAGACCCACCAACTAAATCCATGTGATATCCTAGATTGCATCTTAAAACAGACAAAACAACAGGAGTAGAAAAAGTGGTGAAATCTGAATAAAGTCTTGGGTCAGTAGTATTGTACCAAGCTAATTTCTTAATTTTGACAAATTTACTGCGGTTATGTAAGATGTTCATTTTAAAGGAAGGTGGGCGAATGGGATATTGGGAACTCTGCACTATCTTTGCAACTCTTTATCAATCCAAAGTTATTCCAAAATGAGAAGTTAAAAAAAAAGCCTATTTCTAATTGTTATTTCTGCAGATATGTACATATATTGTTTTTATTTTTAAAGCATATAAAAATATTACCTACTCAAGAAATAAAAAATAAATAGGTACTGCATTCATGACAATAAGCTTCTAAAAGTGGCAGAGTTATAAATGTGCTGTCATTCTTATTCTTCTTTATTTTAATGCATTGTTTTTAATTTCCATAATAATTCAGATTTAATCCAAGAAAATGTCAAATTGGGTTTTGAACAAATGTTGAGGAAGTTTATCTATTTCTCTTTTCTGGTCTTGAGGATTGAATGCCAATTTGGGCTAGATTCAGAAATAATAGAAATGAATCCTCTCTAATTGAAAATCGTTTGCAATGCCTGAATTAGGCCCCTTACCCTGGGCTTAACTAAGCCTAAGTGCTTATACTCAGGCAGAGGAAAGAATAGAGACAGCAAACAAATGCCCCAAGTAAACTCATCACACAGAAACTTTCAGAGAAGATGCCTGTTTCCATTGTGAAAGGTTGGTCGGAGAACTAATTTGGATATCTACTTCCTTCCAGATTTGTTTCATGCCCATTTCAGCTGAAATATACAAATCACTGATGGCAGATAGAGACGTGAGCTGCTCTTCTATAGCAGGTAATTCTAGGTGTACAATCAGGTGTTTTGTGGCTGTCACTTAAGCAGTCCCTGACAAACACCACTGCCAATGGAGCCTGACACAAATATATGAGGCGCCTTCTGCCCATCTCTCGTGCCAAAGCATCATGCTAAACACATGGTCTGCAACAGGGCAGCATGAAGCAAATTAATGCTTAGGAATTTTGGAAATAACATTTTGTTTAAAAAGCAAGGAGTTTATTTTTCAATTATGTTTACAGAGGAAAAACTGTGGCAATCAAACGTGGGGGTGGCTCTCAGCACCATAATCAGATTCCACAGGCGTCAGTTCAACCCTGCAGCCATGTCTTCTCTATTCTTCCATTAGGGGAAGAGATCCTGAGTCTGAGTGCCATTCTTCCTTGCAAATTCTTGGTTGTGGCATGGGCAGAAAACATGCATCCCTTAGAAAGAATCTCCCCGAGCCAGGCTTCATCTGTGTGGATGACCCAGTGAAGGATGAGGGGACCAGCTCTGAGGGGCAGAATGATCCAAACCATGGAAATTTGTCTCTGGTTTCCCAGGGAGGAAAAGAGGACACTAGGCTGACGGTAGCCTCCTGAGTGGTCTCCCTACTCATACCGTCACCATCTATAATTTCTTCTCAGAACAACCGAATGATCTTTATAAAAATGTAAATTAACTCATGCCACTCCTTTGTTAGAAAACCCACCAATTACATTCACAGTCCTTATCACAGCCTCTAAGGCTCCCATGAGCTGGCTCCTCTCTGCCCTCAGCAGCAGTCACCTTCCCCTTCCTCATTACACTTCAGCCTGCTGGCCTTCTAACATGTGAAGTCCATTCCTACCTCAGTACCTTTACACATGCCATTTCTTCTTCCTGAAATGTTCATCTAGATCTTTTTGTATCTCTTTTTTTCATTGTAATTATTAGCTCAAATGCCATGTCTCAGAGAGGTCTTTCCTGAATACTTTATCAAAAAAAGTTTCCTCTACCCATTGCCTCCATCACTCTCTGCTCAGCCTTTAATTTTCCATAGCACTTAATTCAGCTTAAAATTGTACTCGATATTTATTCCCAGGTTCATTAACTACCTGCCCCATTAGTATGAAGACATTTTACGGCATCCACATTGCCTAGAATAGTGTCATGGCCATCATCAAAGCTATTCACAAATAATCTAGCTCACATCCTTCCAGATATATTTAGTTACCTCATTTGCTTTAGCCAATGAGATGTAAGTAGCAGTGACACACATCATTTCTAAATGGAACCCTTAAGAGATAGTGTGTGATTAATTATATTCCCTTACCCTGGCTGCAGGTTCTGGTCCCTGCATCTCAGGGAAGCACATGTCAAGGTAGAACTTGAGCCTAAGTACCATTCAGGCTCAAGCCTGACACCTCACATTGAAAATATATCACAGAAAAATGTTTGCTATTTTATGCCCCCAAGATTTGGAGAACAGCTGTTGTTTGTTACTTTGGTATAATCTAACCTATCCTAACATAGTGACGAAGTGAATAAATGATAAATGAACATACTAAATAGGCAGATGATCTCGGCACATCTCTCAGTCAAAAGCAACCAGAGGCCAACTCAGATTTGCTTACAGCCAATAGCATAAGACCAGAGCTAAACCCAGAATGGAGACTGTAAGGTAAAGTAAAGGTCTTGCTGACTGTGTTACAGGTCCAGCCTTGCTCCAAAGCCAGGGGTCACACAGAGGATGCTTCTTCTCAGTAAGTAAGTTATTTCCTTGGAAAAATTTATAGATTTCTCAAGAAAGCTATGGTATAGTGGGATCTCTCATGCAGGAGCCTTGGTGGGGCAATGTGAGAAAGGAAGTCAGGAACTTCTGTGGTCCCTCTCATTAATTATCCTCCTTTTAATGAGTCTAAAAGCACAGTCTTGGGCATCTGCTGGGCTTGGGCTCACAACTCAACTACTTCAAGGTCAAGGTGGGCATTGACCTTGAAGCTATGTGACCTTAGGCATTTTCTCAATCAATCTGAGCTTCAGTTTTCTTCTATAAAATATGACCAATAATGCCCTCCATCTCACAAGGCAGTGAGAATTAATTAACAAAGGGCATTTATGGCACTTAAGTTGATGTCTGCCACAAAGTACATGCTCAGTAAATGCTAGTTACTAATATGAGTATTTTCCTAAACTCTAGAAGTTTCTCAGGTATGATCTACAGGACACGCCATTCTCTTGGAATATACCATAGTGAAACAAATGAAGGCATATTCTCCTAAAACAATCAAAATGGCTAAAATAATTTGAATTCCAGTGGAAGCACAGAAGACGCAGAGAGAAAGCCAAGCCACAGACATGCTACGTGATTCAGCATGCCATTAAGGGACATTCACATTGTTCATATCTGTTGCTTTTAGTGTTATCATATTTTTGCACAGACCTTTTAATCTCAGAAATTAAATGACTACTCTAGAAGGTTATAGGACTTCTCACCCTCCCTCTCCCTGGTTACATTTCCTTCTGAGACATTTAAAAAGTTTTCAGCCAAAAAAAAAAAAATGCTGTAAAAGGCTAGGTTGAATTATGAGATACACTGAATTATATGAAATTAAAATGAAATTTTAAATTATGCAGTTCAGGATGATATAGAATGAGTGATAATAAATAAAGGTTAAAAGGATGATGGCAGATCCTTTTTCATGGTTTGTATTTTCTTCCCTTTCTGTTGTTTATAAAAACCTTCTCAGAAGATTAAAAATAATATTTCTTTCCCTATTGATTTTTTCTTTTCCCGTTTGGCCAACATTAATTTATTTCCTGTGTTTCTAATGGAACCGATATCAATATAGCTTTATTTATTTATTTTATTCCATGGACATTGCCATTACTGATGACAGCCCAAGCCTGAGGACCGCAGCCAGACAGCTCCTGAGGTGACAGGGCATTTCTGCGGTCAGTAGAGCAGGATTCTGTTTCTACCAGCCTCTTCCCATTGTCTGCATGGAGAGACCTTGAGAGATGTCTATGCCACCCAAAATTCAAGGGTCTTCTGGGTCACTGCACTATCCTGTGAAGGCTGTTCCAGATCCAGTCTTATGAGGACCCTGGTCATTTGGTGTCCTCTACTTGGAATTCCTTCTTCCCTCTTCCCCTCCCTTCCTCTAGGTCCTAGCTCAGATCCTGTCTTTTGAGATGAAGATTGCCATGATCACAAACTTCCCAGCAAAATAAGTTGCTAATGTATTCAACACACCTTTGATAAGCCAGACCCTGGGCCACACACTGGAGATTCAACAGTGAGTAAGACATAGCTCCTGCTTCGGAGACTATCCAGTCCAGTTGTGGAGCGTGCTGCAGTGCATGCTCCCCTGTGGGAGAACAGAGGAGGAGCCCAATCTGCCAGCGTACCTCTCCTAGGTGGGGGTCAGGGAAGTCTTCAAGAAGATGGCATCTGAGCTGAATCTCGATTTGTTGCCTTCTTAGGAAACAAAGGAATAAAACTAGGAAGTTAGGAAACATAGTTACAAGGACTTTCTCAAATTAGCACATCAAGCTGGCCATGCCAGGACTGAAACAGAGGTTCCCAGATATGGTTGCCCAGCCTCCTTCCACTTCATCCCTAGCTTTCTTACATTGCAGACATTACCTGTTAGTTAAAACATGGTTCTGGGTCTATTAGTTATGCTGTTTGATAATTTGCATATATATATTTTAAGACAGAGTCTCATTCTGTTGCCAGGCTGGAATGCAGTGGTGCTATGTCGGCTCACTGCAACCTCTGGCTCCCTAGTTCAAGTGATACTCCTGCCTCAGCCTCCTGAGTAGCTGGGAGTACAGACATGTGCCACCACACCCAGCTAATTTTTGTATTTTTTTTTTTTAGTAGAGATGGGGTTTCACTATGTTTATCAGGATGGTATTGATCTCTTGACCTTGTGATTCACCCTCCCAAAGTGCTGGGATTACAGATGTGAGCCACCACATCCAGCCAATTTGTATATAATTTAACAGAATCTTCTGGAGTCAATGCTAAAGCTCAGAGGAACTACCCTAGTGGGGATTTCCAGCATGTGGGAGAGAAAATTTGAGGGTAATTCTCACATTTGATGTGGCTGTCATCTACTTGCTCAGTGCCCTCAGCTCACCATCATTAGGGCACTGGGGCTCTCCAGATAGCCTAAGACTCTATCTGTTCACACAGACATGAGAAGACTCCCACTCCTCACCCCAGAGCATAAGCTCTCTCCACAGGGATGGAGTTGGCTGGCGGCTGACTCTCCATCTCTAAGAAAAAATTCCTGCTTTTTTTTCTTGCTTTCCTCTCTTACCATTCCTTTTCTTGTAGAACCTTCTGCCAAAATCTGAGGACAGACTGTCACCTCAATGGGCCTCTCTGGCGGGGCTCCGTGACTGACACCTGTAATCCCAGCACTTTGGAAGGCCAAGGCAGGTGGATCATTTGAAGTCAGGAGTTTGAGACCAGCCTGACCAACATGGTGAAACCCTGTTTCTACTAAAATACAAAAATTACCTGGGAATGGTGGCATGCGCCTGTAATCCCAGCTACTAGGGAGGCTGAGGCAGGAGAATCACTTGAACCCAGGAGGTAGAGGTTACCATCAGCCAAAATTGCGCCAATCTACCCAAGCCTAGATGACAGAGTGAGACTGCATCTCACAAAAAGAGAGAGAGAAAAAAGGGCCTCTCCACCAGCTCATCAAGACCTCATCTCTCATCAAAGACATCTGTATCAGTTAAGGAAATGTTGGCTCCTTTAACAATCAAAGGAAAAAGAATAATGGCTCCCAGCACTTTAGAGAGCTGAGATGGGAGAATTGCTTAAAGCCAGAGTTCAAGACCAGACTGGGCAATATAGCGAGACCCCCCATCTCGGTCACAATTTTTTTAAAAAGAAGTTTCTTTCTTATTCAAGATAAATCCAAAATGGCTGAATCTGATTGGCAAATGGGTTTTCTCTCAAAGTAATGATTTAAGTATCCAGGCTCCTTCTATCGTGGTTCTGCTATTCTCACATGTGGCTTTTGTGATCATCATGCTTGCCTGCATTAGGTTAACAGGAGAAAGAGCACTGAAAATCATGCACAGGAGGATATAGTTGCCCAGCCTGGATATGGTACACATCACTTCTACTCTCGTTTCAATTCTAGAACTTAGTCACCTGGCCATATCTAACTGTTTATATTCTAGTTGTGTGGCCACGAAAATGAGAAAACAGTTATGTTGAACAACTAGCTGGTCTCAGCCAAAACATGTAGCCTTAGAGTATAAGGGGAATTCAGTAAAAAATAGCTATTATTCTCTGAGTACAACTGTGGACATAGGGGCTGGCATGATCTATTTTCTCCCTAAAAAGAATGGATGGGTTCACACAACAAATAAATCATGAAGTTGAGTATGTCTGATGCCAAAGTCACTAGGCTATGTCATGTCAACAAGACAATTTAGAAAAAAAAAATCCTACTCTCAAGGAACTTAGAGTTGAGAAACAATTAGATACTCATTGAATTGGAGTTTACTACTTATTTCTAACTTGAAAAAAAAATCATTTTCACTTTTTCACCAGTGTTAAGACTCTTTGCACAGTCTGGGTATTCGTTCTTATCCAAACTCCTAGTAGTTGATGTTGGTGCTTCTCGCCAAATATTTCTGGCTCTCCCCACTTTCAGACACATGATATAATTACACTTTCCTGATCCCTTTAGGTTAGTTGTGACTTCCTTGGGCAATAAAATGTAGATGGAAGTAACATGTCACACTTTTAGAAGGAAAATTAAAGAACCTGGCACATTTGTGAACACCTTTTTGATATGGTTTGGCTGTGCCCCTACCCAAATCTCATCCTGAATTCTAGTTTCCATAATCACCACGTGTTATGGGAGTAAGCCCCATTTGCTGAGCACTTCTCCTTCCTGCCATCACAAGAAGAGGGATGTGTTTGCTTCCCCTTCCACCATGATTGTAAGGTTCTCGAGGCCTTCCCAGGCATGTAGAACTGTGAGTCAATTAAACCTCTTTTCTTTATAAATTACCCAGTCTTGGGTATGTCTTTATTAGCAGTGTGAGAATGAGCTTTTTATACCTCTTTCCTCTGTGACTACCAGCAACATTCAAGATGGTAGATACTCCATCAGCTTGGTTCCATGAGTAAGGAGGCATGGTGCAGAGTTCCCAGGCAACCTGTGATGGACCTGTGATATGAGCAGGCAAGACACTTATTAAGAACTACTAAGCCTTTGCTGTTTACGTTACTGCAGTATAACCTAGCTCATTCTAACACATTCTTCCCTGAATAGTATAACACATAAAATTTTAAATGTATAATTATTTAGTGGAAATAAAATAAAATAGAGTCCTTTAAGGAAAACAAATTATAGTCATGTGCCAGGTAATGACATTTCAGTCAACTTCATATACAAGGGGTTTTAAAAATACATGACAATGCATATTATGAAAAAACTATGCATGGATCAACTTTTTGCACGCAAATAAACTTGTACTTATTTGTTATGATTAGCTGGGCATGGTAGCACATGCCTGTAATCTCAGCTACTTGGGAAGCTGAGGTAGGAGAATCGCTTGAACCTGAGTGGTGGAGGTTGCAATGAGCCAAGATCACACCATTGCACTCCAGCCTGGGCAACAAGAGTGAAACTCCTTCAGAAGAGAAACAAGAAGAAGGAGAAGAAAGAAGAAAGAAGGAGAAGGAGAGAAGAAGAAGAAAAAGAAAAGAAGAGGGAGAGGAGGAAGAAAAAGGAAGAGGAGGAGGAAGAAGAAGAAAGGAGGAGGAGGAGGAGGAGGAGGAAAGGGGGAGGAGGAAGAGAGGGGGAGGGGGAGGAAGAGGAGGAAGAGGAAGAGGAATGACAACAGATGTAGATATTGAAGAAAAGGAGAGGTGAACAGAGAGAAGGTGATTGGGAGATGCTATGCTGCAGGCTTTGAAGATTTCAGAAGGGACCAGGAGCCTAGAAACTGGAAAAGGTAAGGGAACAAATTCTACCCTTTAGTCTCCAGAAAAAACACAGTTCTGTTGACACATTAATTTTAGCTCAGCAAAACTGATTTTGGACTTATGACTCCAGACCTATAAGATAACACATTTTGTTGTTTGAAACACTTAGTTTGTGGCAATTTGTTAAAACAGCAATAGAAAACTAATATATATAATATGTATTACTTGTGACTGGCTTCTTTTGCTTAACATTATATCTGTGAGACTCATCTGTGTTGTGTATATCAATAGATTTCATAGTTGTGAACATATCACAATTTACTTATCTACCATATGGATCATAGACATAGGCTGCTTTCAGTCACTAATCATTATGAATAAGGCTGTTATAAACATTCTTGTATGTTTTTTTTTCATGGTTAAAAAAATAAACGAGGCCAGGCATGGTGGCTCATGCCTGTAATCCCAGTATTTTGGGGGCCAAGGTGAGAAGATCACTTGAGACTAGGAGTTTGAGATCAGCCAGGGCAACATAGTGTTGTAGAGACTCTGTTTCTACAAAACACAAACTTTTTAAAAATCTGGGCAGGGTGGTATGCACCTGTAGTTGCAGCTACTTAGAAAGCTGAGGCAGGAGGACCACTTGAGCTCCCTGGGAAATTGGCAGTGAGCCACTGAAAATAACAGTTATTGTGCCACTGCACTCCAGCCTAAGTGAGAAAGCAAGACCCTATCTCAAAACAAAAAGACTAATTTTGTTGGTTATATATGTCCAGAAGTGAAATTGATGGGTTATAGGGTATGTAGTATGAAGAAAAGGTATGCAGTATTTGATAGTAGATAAACACTGCAGAGTTTTCCAAAATGATTTTTATCAATTTACACTACCTCTAGCAATGTATGAGTTACAATTGCCCTACATCCTCATTGACCTTGGGTTTTGTCATTATTTCTATTTCATCCATCCTCAGGGGAATAGTCAAATTTGATAAGTTTTGTATATGCATACACTCACGAAACTATCAAGATAATGAAGATATCCATTACTCTCAAAAGTTTCCTTGTTTCTTTCCAATCCATTACTCTACTTCTTCCTGCACATAATCCACCCTGTTCCCAGGTAATCACTGACTTTTCTTTCCATCACTATAGATTAGTGTACATTTTCCAGAATTTTCAATAAGTGGAATCAGATGTACATAGTCTTTTCTTTCTAGTTTTTCATCCATATTTATTACGTTGAATTTATCCTTGTTATAGTATGTTTCAGTAATTGATTTGTTTTTGTAGGTCAATAATATTTCATTATTTGGATGTACCATAATTTTTTTATCCATTCAACTACTGATGGATATCTAGGTTATTTCCAATTTGGTGCTATTATAAAGAGGGCTGCAAAGTCGTGCATACTTTTGAATATATGGCTTCACTCTTGGGTAAATACCTAGGAGTGGAATAACTATATAATATGGTAGGTGAATGTTTAGCTTTTGAAGAAACTAACAGTTTGTTTTCCAGATTGGTTGTGCCATTTTATGTTCCCATCAGCAGTTTATGAGGGCTCTAATTGCTCACATTTTTGCCAATACTTGCAATGGGCAGTCTTTTTAATTTCAGCATTTTAATAAGTGTGAAATGATATCACCTTCTGGTTTTAATCTGAATTTCCCTAATGACACATGATGCTGTGAATCTTTCCATGTGCTTATTGGCTATCCATCTAAATTCCATGGCAAAATGCCTATTCCAATATCTAGCCCATCAATTACTTTTTTATATGTTTTGAGAGTTCTTAATATTCTGATAAATTCCTTTATCAGATATATGTATTAAAAGAATTTCCTTCTAGTCTGTGGCTTGTATTGTCATTCTCTTAACAGTATCTTTCAAAGGTATGGCATTTTAATTTTGATGACATTCAGTTTATTCATTTTTATGGTATCTAAGGTGTATTTGTTTAATCTGAAGTCAAAAAAGGTTTTTTTCTACATTTTCTCCTAGAAGTCTTATAGACTCAGGCTTTACATTTAAATATATGGTCCATTTTGAATTAATTTTTGAATTATTGTGAGATGTGCTTTGAAGTTTATTTATTTGCATATTGTAAACAATTGTTCCAGCACCATTTGTTGAAGAGACAAAATCTTTTCTCTATTGCATTTTCCTCACAACTTTGTCCAAAATCCATATATGGTTAGTGATGCCTTTTAAAGTTTAAAAATTTAGAAAAGAAATTTAAAAACCCAAATACATTCACATGTGTGAATCTATTTCTAGATCCTCTATTGTGTTTCATCTATTTGCCTATCCTGATATCCATATCACAGTCTTAACTAATGTAGTTTTATAATATGCCTCAAAATGAGGTATTGTTTCTCCTCTGACTGTGTTCTTATTTTTAAAAGTTGATTTGGTTATTCTACATCCTTAGCACTTCCAAGTGAATTTCAGATTTTATTTGTCTATTTCTACTAAAAAAAAAAAAAAAAAGCCTGCTGGGATTTTGACTTGGATTGCACTGAATCTTTAGATCAACTTGAAGAAAAGTAACATCTTAGCATTATCAAGTCTTCCAACCCATAAATTCAGTATATCATCCCATTTGTTTATGGTTTTAGGTAATAAAAGCCTTTATGGAGTTTTTAAAATTAATTTCTTTCAGGAATGGTTTTTAATTTCCAGAGAATAGGCTTTGAACATCTTTTGTCAGATTTATTCTTAAATAACCCCTGTTTGTTCAGGCTATTGTAAAAGGTATTTTTATTTCAATTTCTCATTGTTTATTGCTAATATATGGAATACAATTGATTTTTATATATTGATCTCGTATCATGCAATCTTGCTTGATTCACTCATTAGTTTTAGCAACTTTTTTGTAAATTCAATCAGATTTTCTACATAGATGATAATATCATCTGTGAAGAAAAAATAGTTTTCTTTCTTTCTCATCTAGATGCCTTTAATTTCTTTTTCTTGCCTTATTGTGACCCTTCAATGAACTGTTGAATGGAAGCGGTGCGAGTGGATGTTCTTGTCTTTTTCTTAACCTTAGATGGCATAGGGGTTCAGGGGGAATAATCATTCTGTATTTAACCAAAAAAATAATATTAGCTGTGGGTTTCTGATAGAAACCTTTTATCAGTTTGAAGATGTTTCCTTCTATTCCTACTTTGCTGGAAAATTTTATTGTAAATTATTTAAAATACTATCAGGTGCTTTTCATGTCTGTTGAGATAATCATATGATTTTCAAATGTTAAACCAACCTTACATTTCAGGAGTATGCTATGATTGGTCATAATATACTATGCCTTTTTGTATATTATTGGATTCAAATTGCTAACATTTTGTTTAGAACTTTTACCCTCTGTCGAGTTCATCTGGTATATTTTTCTATAATTTTCTTTCCTTGTAATGTCCTTTTCATATTTTGGGGGACAGAATAAGGCGGGTCTCATAAAATGAGTTGGAAAGTATTTTCTTCTTTTTGGTTTTCTGGAAAGGTTTATGTAGAATAGGTTTTATATGTTTGGTATATGGTATAATTACCTGAGTCTGAAATTTTCTTTTAGGAGAATTTTAAACCATAAATTCAGTTTAGTCAATAGATATACTTATTTATGTTCTCTATTTTTTTAATTAAAAAAAATTAACCAGGAGAAAGTGCAAAAACAGTCCCCCACTACCACAAATTATGCAGTCGAGTTTCCCACATTTAGAGAAATCGCAGAGGTCAACTGAGTCAACATCGCAGAGGTCAACATCCGGAGTGCAATGGATAAGCCTCACCCTGGGAAAACCACCTTCGTGATCATAGTGTCTCCCCTGCCAGGTAAGTGTTCTCTATTTTTTCTTGATTGAACTTCGGCTGTTTGCATCTTTCAAAGAATTTTTCCACTTCACCTAAATTGTTGGATTTATTGGCAAAGTTTTTCACAATATTCCTTTATTATCCTTTTAAATATTAATAGAATCTGTAATAATATTTTCTCTATCATTCCTAGTATTTTAAAATTTGTTTCTCTTTTCCTCTTGATAAGTCTGGATAGCTATTTTTATTTTGTTGTACTTTTTCTTTTATTGCACTTTAGGTTTTACAGTACATGTGAGGAACATGCAAAATTGTCGCATAGGTACACACATGGCAGTGTGATTTTCTACCTTCCTCCCCATTACCTATATCTGGCATTTCTCCCCATGCTATCCCCAACTCCCCACCCACCACTGTCGCTCCCCTATA